TTGGTTCTATTTCATAGCATCCCTGTATATGCTTTCCAAGGAGCAGTTGGTGGATTTGAACCAACAACCTTGTGGTTATAAATCCAGTGCTCAGCCTACAACACCATAGTAGAGTGGCTCCTAATCCTATATGACTGGTGTCCTCATGAGACAGGAGTAGATACACAGAGAGAGAGAGAGGAGACATGCCAGCTGATGCTGCAGCTGGAAGCCAATGAATGCCTGGAGCTTCCAGAAGGTAGGAGAAATGCAAGAAGCAATTTCTCCCTCAAACACTCAGAAGGAAACTATATGACCAATACACTGATCTCAGACTCAAGCCTCCAGAAAGTACAAGAAAATAAATTTCTGTTCTTATAAGCCACTCACAGTTTGTGAAATTTTGTTTAGAGCAGCCCTAGGAAACTAGTACACAGAGGTAGGAGAAATTGCATAATCATATATGGGGTCTTTCTGTATTCTTTTTACAACTTCATGAGGACCTCTATTTTTCAAAAGTAATAAACATATTCTAAAACACAGAAGTAAATAGAGGTGAATATTATTAAACTGATGGTACATGGAAGGGATTGCAATCATTGTAATGAAGCAAAGTACATGATCTGTTGAAGGTAAAACTAATAATCTCCTGTTAACCTTCACTGAATTCACAATAAAATTAAAAATATGTACTCTACAACAAGTGTTTGAAAACTACGTGTGAATGTCAAAAAGGAGCAGTCATAGAAGGCACTAGGAGGCACTAGACAAAAAGATTTTACTACCACAGAAATAAAATTTACTTAAATAGTGGTTATCAAAAAATGCCTTGTCACAGAAAATAACCTCATAAACTTTGAAAGCAAGTACTTACCTAAAATTTTCTTCAGAAATGTATACTCCATTTTTCTCACGAGCTGCAGCAAGATCTCGTTTCAGGCGCTCTATCTCTTCTGTATATTCCTATTCAAGACAAATGCTGTAGGTCTTAATTAAACACAACTTTTTTTCATTCCATTTGGAGAAACTATACCACAAATAAAACATAAAGCTAGCCTTTTTAGGTTTTTTTCAGAACATGTACAAATGTTTTTAAAACATGTATAAAATCAATGATTAATCTGTTTAAAAACAGTTTTTCAAAAGCTTTCAAGGCTGCTTTAAATGTACTCACAAAAATATGAGCTTAAAAAAGCCACAACTTCCAGTGCCCAGGTACAGTGAAATGAATTTGAAATGAATTTAATATAGCCCTTCTAGACATGGTCTTGGAATCCTGATGAGGTGCACTGCAGGATCAGCACTGGACTGCTAACTACCAGGTTATCAATTCAAACCTACCAGCCACTCTTTGGAAACCCTATACAGGTTCGCTGAGTCAAAACCAACTCAAGGGCACTTAACAAGAAGACATGGGCTTGTAACTCATACAACACGACTATGAAGATAAGCAACACAACTATGAAGATAAGATGTTTCTGGTCCACCAAGGGAAATAAACAGCTCTACCAAAGCACTTAAGGTACATGGAACCCTTGCAGGTGTTTGTTGTTGTTAAGTGCTGTAGGGTCTGTTCCAATCCATAGCGACCCTGTATAGGGTTTCTGAAGAGTGGCTGGTGAGCCTGAACCACCAACCTTGCAGTTCAAACTGACTTTGCAGTACAGCGCATTAATCCGCAGTGCCACACCAGGACTCCCCTTGCAGGTGTAAGATTATGCAAATAAGGTAAAAGGAACTATTATAGGAAAATAGTTAATTTTGCCATCTCATTATTCTTAAAGGGAACCAATTCCAAAAGTTCCAGGGGAAACCTCACTACCATCAAGAAGAGCAGTCAGAAGCAGAGCATGTTCTTTGGTCCAGAATCCCTGCCCTGAAAACCTTCTGGGGTCCCAGGATTCTAGGGAGCACTGCTACACAGTAGCTGGCAGCGGCATAAGAAGGTGGAAATCAGGAGACCAGAACAAGATGGCCTTCTCCGCCCATGGACTGAGAGAGCCCAGGACCTTTGGGCAGGAGGCTTTCAGGCAGAGAGGAGTACTTCCAGGCACTTACTGAATGAGTCAAAGAGCTTTATAGTACTTCTCCTTTGTTGTTGAGGGACATAGAGTCGGTTTTACCTCATAGAACCCTGTATAGGGTTTCTGAGGAACAGCTGGTAAACCTTCTGGTTCAAATTGACATGGCAAGCCAGCACATTAACCTAACCCGCAGTGCCACACCAGGACTATAGTACTTGCCCCAGTGGTATCCTGAGTCAAAGGCTGGGGCCAAGAACAAGGGCTTAGAAGGAGAGGTCTGACTGTAGGCCCAGTCTGTAAGAATCTGTCCTGACGGAAGAACTGTATCATTATTTTAAAAACTAAAGAAAAGGTGTTCATACTAAAAGAAACATTCTTTGATGGTTACCAGAGGTAGGAAGGAGGAGAGAGTAATTCACTGGCTAGAGGACAGATACATGTTAGCTTGGGTGACGGAGAGGGCAGTATAGAAGGGTGAGGGCACTATACAAGGAGAGAGAGTAGCAGAAGAATGATGAAAATAGGTGAAGACACAGGGAGTTATGCATGAGCTAAAGGGAACAGAGGGAAATAGTTACATATACACTATCTTGGAACAAAAGTGTTCTATGCATCGATACAAGAAATTGAGACATAGAATGAATGGGTAAGGGAGGAAGTGTGGGATGTATATATTTTTTTATATTCCACAAATATGTAAGAGTTTGAAAGAAGATATCTGTACATGAGGATCTACCTTTCCTGAAACACAACAATGAATGTGGTGGAGCATATTGCAGGCAAAATGATGGAAACTTCCTAGATATTATGAACTATCTCAAGGCAATGAGCTGATGAACCTGGGGAATCAGGACCACTCTCAGGGGACACCAAGGTCAATTGGCATAAAATAGTCCACAAAGACGATGTTTTACATCCTGCTTGTATAAGTATCGTTTGGGGTCTTTAAAGCTCTTTAGTGGCCATCTAAGATTCAGCTATTGGTCTCTCCATGTGCGGAAGAAAGAAGAGTAGTGGTAAGAATTGAAGATGCTTGGAATCCATTAGTCCAGTGGACTAATGGAACATGTGAACATCAGTCTCCACGATTCTGAGACTAACAGAATTAGACGGTGCCTGGCTACCCCTACCAACTGCTCTAGAAGGGATCGCACTGGAATGTCTCGGATGAAGTGGGATAAAATGTGGAACAAAACTCAAATTTATTTAATAATTGGTGAGAAAGAGACTGGAGGAACCTAAGCCTATGGTCCTCAACCACCCTTTAGTTTTGCAAAAACACTCACCTGTTGCCGTTTTCAAATGGCCCAATTTTCAACCTCCCAGTTTATAACAGAGGACAACAACACTAGCAAGGTATGCTTACCATGGAATGGTTAATCATTCAAAACCAAAAGGGCAACATCTTCCCAAGGACAAAGTTGAAAAGGGATAGGACGATGGATGGAAAGAAAATAGGAACCACGGGGAAACAGTGAGCTAATGATTGTAGCTTGGAGGGGATTGTACTCATTGAGATGAACCCACTTGGGTATATGATTTGTTGAATGTAAAGTAAAACGCGAAAAAGAAAAATGTGTGATTTCTTGAAGGTAAAAGTCATGATCTGCTCTGTAAACCTTCACTCAAAACACAATAAAAAGTTAAAAAACAAAAAAAGGATTACACCCCTAGAAAGCTGAAGAACTCTAGCTAACCAATAAAGATAGAATGTATGAATTTAAAATAAGTAGGAAATTCCTAAAATTGTATTGTGGTGATACTGCATAACTCTATAAATTTACTAAAAAATATTAGCTTATACACTTACAGTGTGTAAATGTTCTATTATGTAATTACTCCTTGGGCTACAAATAAATTTTGTAAATATGCATATTTTCTTTATGGTGCCAATTCAATTCATATACCTAGTAACATTCAACATGTTATTACTAGAAAAATAATTTTTATATAGAAGGTCTTTAGTTTAAGTCACTAGATAAAAAGTCTTACTACAGGCAATTTAAAAGACTGTTTAACAATGATCAGTTTAAATGCCTTATTTTCACATTTGTCAAACAAGATTATATTACTTCACAAGATTCACAATTACCTTTATAAGAGCTTTTTTGGTGAGTTTCTGGTTAACTTCAGGCTTATTCATTATGTTCTTTGCTCTATGAGCATATTCCAGTGTACTCAAGGTTTCCTGTCATAAAAAGAAAAGGCAAATCACTGAAGATTCTAAAGTGATTGATAAATATTACCTGAAATTTAGTATATAATAACTTAAAAATAATAACTGATAGTAATATCTAGTTTTAAATCCTACCCATAAGACTACCAAACCAAGCTTTACAAAGTTTCTTCAAAAGATACTTAAATAGTTGACCAAAAGAAAATTCAGAAGGCAGGATACAGAAAAAACCAAAATGTGTATACATTGTTGAATGGGAAACTAACTCGCTCTGTAAACTTTCACCAAAACCACAAAGAAATGTTCCCAAATAAAAGGACAGACTTGTACATTTCTTGGTATGGTGCTGTAGGATAATGCACTGGACCTCAAGGTCTGTTTCAACCACAGGTTCAGCGGTTCAAACTCACCTTGGAAACCCCATACTGGGTCTCTATGAGTTAGAACCAATTCCAGCACTTAGGAACAACAAACTTATAATTCAATCCTCTTTTTTTTTTTTTTAAACTATTTTTAAAGCATTATGCTAAGTGAAGTCAGTCACAAAAGGCCACATACTATATGACTCCTTTTATATAAATATCCTCAACAGGGAAATCTATAGAGACAAAAAATAGATTTGTGGTTGGCAGGAGTTGGCAAGGGGTCATGTGGGGTGTCACTGCCATTGTACAAGATTTCTGTCTGGGGTGATGAAAACGTTCTGCAGTTAGTAAGTGGTGATGTTGCAAAGCTGTGAATACACTAAAACCATTGGACTGTATACTTAGATAGGTGAACTTTATGTGAATTGTATCTCAATAAAGATATTCAAATAATGACGGGAGAACTAGAGCTGCATGTTCTTCTAAGTTTAAAGCAGAAAAATAGCAATAAAAGTAGATTTTATCAACTTGCTCACTTAGTTTTTCCACATCTTCTCACACATCTAACTCCAGCTTCAAGGCTCTCCAGCAGTATCTATAACACTAACTTCCACTTGACCATTTCTAATTCCTTAATTAAATCTCCATACCACTAATGACTACAGCAATTTTCTTTGAAGATTGTGTGGGAAAAGCCATTAGCTAAGAATGGATAAACAAACTTTGGTACATACACGCAACTAAAATACCATGCAACCTTGAAAAATAACAATGAATCTGCAAAACATCTCATAACATGGATAAACCTGGAGGACATTATACTGAGTGAAATTAGTCAGTCACAAAAGGGCAAATATGATATGAGTTCATTATTGTAAAAGCTTAAGAAATTTTTTCCTTCTTAAAAAAAAAACATTCTCTGATAGTTATGGGGTGGGAGGGAGAGGAGAGTAATTTACTGGCTAGAGGCTAGATACAAGGAATGGGAGGATAATACACAAGAAGGAGGGCGGCAAATGAACAATGAAGGTAGGGGGAGACTTAGGGAGGTATACATGGGCTAAATTGGATAGAGGTTAATAGTTATTTATACACATGAAACAACTGTGTTCTGTTAGTAGATACATGGATTGAGACATAGGCAGAATGGGTAAAGGAGGGGAAAAAATGTTTATGTGTTTGACTTTCTTGTAGATACTGGTTTTCCCTGCCTAGTATTGTAAAATAGACATTTATGTGTGATGGAAATGAATATTAGGAATTATGATTACAGAAAGATTGTATGTAAGACTGTCTTCAACCTATAACTAATTGGATTTGCTAAAAGAGGAGTAAGAATTTGCCCAGGGAAATAGGCCTTCTAGGGAATCCTGGGTCCTACCCAGAATCTTCTGAGTTGGAATATGTGCATTTGAAAAGACATACAGACCAACACAGAACTGCTGGGAGACCAGAACATTCTTACTAAAAGAAAGATCTGCAGAAAAAATGAGGACTGTTTGGCTGTTTGAACTTCAAGCAAGTGAAAACCCCTTTCTAGAACTGAAACTAAAGGGAACCTTCCAGCAGTCTCATATGCTCGCTGGTGACCACCTGGGTCCACTTGTGAGTGGAAGCAGAGGAAATGCAGCAATGAAAACACAGGCGGAGTTTGACCATGTTCCATTGACACCCGCTGACCTTGAAATCACAGAGAGAGGAAGGGAAAGCCAGGTTGGTCTGAAGTTGAGGGAGATGTGTTAATTCCAAATGTCAATTGCTACAATTTGATCAACTGGACTTCTGCTTCTAGATGCAGTTGTTCACAATTCCAACCGGTATGGAAGGATTCTTCATATCAAGGAAGAAGCTTACTTCCTTAGTGTGGTGGTTTGATGTTAAGTGCCACTGGGTGGCTTCCGACCCATACTGACCCTGTATAGGGTTTCCAAGGAGCTGTTGGTGAGTTTGAACCACTAATCTTGTGGTTCAAACAGACCTTGTGTTCCAATGCTTTATCCCACAGTACCATACCAGAACTCCACTGGTTTGATGTTGTTGTTATTAAGTACCATGGAGTCGGTTCCGACTCAGTGACCCTACACAGTACTTCCGAGGCTGCAAATCTTTAAGGGAGCAGAAAGCCTCATCTTTCTCCCGCAGAGCAACTGGTAGTTTTGAACTGCCGACCTTGATGTTAGCAGCCCGATTCGTAACCACTATGCTGCCAGATGGGCAATTCAGACATTGGCTATCAAAAACTGGGGGTGGCTATAAAGGCATGAAGTGGCTGGTTTACAAACAAGGGAGTAAGTAAGATAGAATCCTGAAGAGGTTTCCTTTTTTCCAGATGGATCTGGTGAAAGGAGATGGGGCATGATGGTGACAGGATTTTATGATTCAATTGTAATTGTTAGCAGGATTAACTGTGATTGTCACAACTGTAATTGTAGAAGATGTGTAACTTAAAGGGGGGAGCAGTTAATCTTTGATTTCAGGAACAGATGATCCCAGGACCATCAAGAAGGAAGAGCATGAGCAGAGCATGAAATCTCTACCCAGGAAACTGGCAACAGCAGAGATGGTGGCAGAGGCAGTGGCATGGAGAGACAAAGCAAATGTGGGCACTAGACCCATGAACTGAGTAAGGCCGTGTGCCTGCGTGCAGTAAGCTGGCTTGCAGAATGTACCCTTTGGACATTTAAATGACTATATATTTTTGCTTTGTATGTGTGCATCAAATAATCTTGCTTTGTTCATTTGTGAAATATAAGATGTAAATGGGGAGAAAGCAAGATAACGTATTGCAGGGCGGGGTTGGTAATCACCGAGATGAAACAAAGTGTATAATTTGTTGACTGTCAATCTGATGATCTTGTCTGTAAATCTGCACTCAATGCACAATAAAAAGTTAAAAAAAGAAAAAGTCATTAGCTATCTGGCTTTTTTTTTTTTTTTTTTAAGTTTTATTAGCTATCTGGCTCTTTAAGGCTTAAAAAGTTCTGCCAAGGAGAAAGACTATTTTTCAGTGGTGGTCTCTTCTATATATGAGCAATGTCTAGATTGTTTTATAACATGAAAGAGCTTCAAGTATTTTGTGGAAAAATCTTTCAATTCCAATATTCAATTAACTTTATCGAAGCCCCCTCCTATAATAGAGAATGAATGTTTATTAATGAACTTTGAGATATATGGTAGTTAAACAAGAATTTGTTACTCTATTTGCATCTGCCTTCCAAAGGGCTCACCTCAAGACTGATAGATGCAGGAGAAATTGTTGCAATTATAGAAGTTCTTGTACGACCCCCAAGAGAATCCTGGAGAATTCTCGTTAGTTTAGATTCTCGATAAGGAACATGAGGTGTTCTTTCCACAAGAGCAGTAATTACCCTGCCCAGTGTTAACAGAGATTGATTGATATTTCCAGCTTCCCGAGCTCTCTTGTCAACTGCTCCAGAACGACCAATGTTTTCACTTCCTGCAAGATCAACCTTTAATCAAAAAAATAACATAAACTGTCAGTCTACTGGACATACACACACACAATCTACATTTAAATATAGCATAGTATACACACGTACATCTAAATTTATATACACAGTGTACTATACACACACACTAAAGTGCTTTAAAATATGTATGGAAAATTGGAATTTTATAAAATGGAATTTTTCCACAAACTTTTTGAAGTCCCTTCATAATATAAAATATAGGTTATATGTATTATATTAAACAGCTAACAAAATATCAGATAGAAAGGATAAGTAGAACCCCAAAAGGACTTTCTCTCCCAATTTATTACATAGCCAACAAAATAATTTCTCTATAAAAAAATTCTTTTTCATTATAAAGCTAACAACCCAGTAACTACAGAAATATTGCCTGGAGGTGTAACATTTCAAGCTGCTCTGAGTCATCAAGAATGAACCAATATTAACGTAGATGCTTACCAAGTTTAACTTTCCAATTTTAACAAGCTCCTCTCCATCAATCATAGTTTCTTTCATATGTATTGTAACTGAGAAAACCGAATGTGAACGACTAGAAAACAAGATTGAGTTGCCTGGTCAATATAATGCAAAATCGTATTTGCTTTCAATAAAATATTCCAATCAGCAAAAAAGATATAAATCCATAGGCAGAAAAAGATTCCAGACAGGAGATATAAATAATTTTGGTAGATGGAAGGTAGACAGAATGTCTAGGTTGCTACTTTCTCATACTTGTACCCTGAAAAGGAAACCCAGTAAGAATCTACCTAAATTCTGCTGAAGCCAAAAAAGATTTAAGAACTAGAATCCTCAGGTATCTCTGAAAGCTGGATGTGGGATTGGGTTAAGATATTTCCTTGTATGTATCACAAGGAGAGTGATCCGAAGATCTAAATGCTTCTTATACAAGGAGGCTTCAAAAAGTTACTGAAAAAATGAATTTACAAGATAATGGGACTTCTTTTCTACTAACTTTTGCAACCCACCCCCCCAATACAGGCTTATTCATAGGAAAACCATTTGAAATACATCTTTAAAAAATTCAAGCATCACCAGGCAAGCCATCGGTTTACTCCCTGTTGTCAAAATACTAATGTATTCTTTTGAGAATGTCATGAGAAATTAGTAACTTCTCATATTGAACAACAGAAATTTTAAATAACAAGGATTATCGAATACAAGTTAATCACTGCTATTGTTTTTGTTGTTAGGTGCTGGACTCATAGCGACCCTATGCACAAAAGAACGCAACATTGCCTGGTCTTGTACAGGGCTCTGAACAGTGGTTGGTGGGTTGGAACCACCGACCTTTCAGTTAGCCGTGTAGTCCTTATCCTACAGTGCCACCAGAGTTCCAATTTTGCTCACAGAATCCTTCAATATCACAAGTTGAGGCTTGACTTTTTTCTTCAGTTCTTTCAGCTTGAAACATGCTGAGCACGTCTTCTCTTTTAGTTCTCTAACTCCAGGTCTTTGCACATATTTCATTATAACAACTGACTTTGTCTTCTGGAGTTGTCCTTTGAAATTTTCTGCTGGACTACCAATATTTCAAGTCTACCCTATGTTGCTGAAATACAACTTTTATCTGAGAGAAACAAATTATATAGACCAAAGATCTTTCTTTTATCACTGACATTTTGTTTGTTAACAATGTCTTTAATAGTTTTAACTTTCTTGTTCATATTCTCCATATTACTTACAAAAAATAAATTAAGAATTTTTCTTAAAAACATAAGGACTGCCACCCTCAGTGGATGGGAACACAGCAGTGGCCATGATTGCAGCCCAGGGCGAGCCTCTGCTGTGAGGAGTCCGGGAGTCAGTAGCCCTGGCGTGGAGCGCAAGTTCTGCCTCTCTCAGCCAGGGTATAGCCAACGTGGAGCGCCGCTAGAAGGTACCATTGGCTGGGGAGGGCAAGAAGCCACGCCTACACCGGTGCCATTGCATCTACTAGCTGGTGGAGGACTCAAAACACCAGCCCAAAGATAAACTGGAACTCTTCCTCTCACAGTCTGTAGAGGAGCTTAGAGTCCAAAGTGACCAGGTCTCAGTGGGCCGGAGTCAACTCCATCCTCAAGGACTGGCTGTATATGCATCTCCTAAAAACAAGTAGCTATTTGAAGAGGAGAAATTGCTGAGATAAGAAGGAAAATTAGAGAAGATCCAGACCCAGGCAGGGGAGGCAACAGTGAAACTTCTGAGAAGCTGTCTCCTGGGAGTGGGATAAAGAACAATGTCAAACAGGAGCTAAGTCCTGAAACAGTTGCCCACCACTTCCTCTAGAACCTTAGTGTTGAGGTAGCTCCCCATGCAGTCAAGTTACTAGAAGAATGCATTACACAGTGGGGCAAGTTAGTGTGGGATGACCTTGACATTGTAAGGGTGCCGAGGTCTGTGGTGAGCTTTGAGAGGCCGAATACCAAAAGATATTAAGTACTGGTTAGCCCATCAGGCTGCCAAGAAAATGGCCTCCAAAAGCTCACAAATATCCTCCCCTTCCTCCATGGCAGCCAAATGCCTTCAAGACCCCAGAATTGGAGCAAAGCAGAGTCGGAGTAGCCGCGCAACAAAGAAAGGCAAGCACCCTGATCTTGCCCCCAGCTTTGACGAAATTTTAGAGTTCATGTGGAGATATCAGATACATTATACAGCCACGCTGAATTCTCCATATTTTCCATCTTCATCTTGGACTTTCTTCACATTCTTCTTTGTTGGGACAGTCCTGCTCAAGAAGTACCAAGCTGTAAGTCTGATAAGCTGGACATCAATGAACAGAAGCAGTCTAGACCCCATCTAGCCTCTTCCTCCACTGGAGCTCATTGAACAAAAAAGAGCCAGCCCACTGTCTAGTATTTAGCTCATTCTCATCACCCAAACCAAATATTTGTTGCTCAAACAGAAATAAAGAGGTTATGTTCTTTGTAAAAAACACATTATTATAAATTACAGAAAAGGGAAAAGGTATACAAGAAATAAACATATAGATCTGAATTATAATATTCACCTCATACTTTTCTACCATCATTCACCCATACATAATATAAAATTATGGAACTAATGTAATTATGCACAGAATCAATTCTGATTTTGGAAAATGATAACACTAACTTTTGACTTTATCACATAAATTCATAAAACAAGATCTTTATTCTTGACTGCATGCAAGAAAAAGGGAGTTCTAAATTATACAAATGTATAGAATAATAGAAATTTTGTATTTCAGATAAATGTAGTTAAAGAAATGGAACTTTACCTAAGTCTTCAGCTCATTTATCCAAACACTATGGCAAATTGTTACAAAACAATCAAATTTCCTTTTTATTAAAAAATTTTGCAGAAGAAAATTTTAAATCACCCATAATTGCATTATCTTGATTATTTTCGTGGAAATATATTTTACATGTATTTGCTATTAAAGAAACAAAGTTGTAATTATAATTGTTACACCAATTTAAAGAAATTTATAAATTTAAAGAATCTAAGAAATAAGTCCTTAATAAGTCCTTAATAAATAATTCTGTAGCTCAGGGAAACTAATGCTCAGGTAAGATCACCTAGTTACCTCAAATCACATAGTCAACTGCAGAGCTGGGACCAAACACAAATATCTAATTCTCAATCCATTGCTCTTCCCATTACACTCTGATGTTTCCTTCAAAGACCAGCAAAAAGAAATACCAGTGTCTTGGCAAGCCATTTTTTTAGAATTTGAGATTCATTTTATAACAGTATTATCAAATATGTCCTTCCCGCCCCATAAAAACCACAGTTAGTGATCATCTGTCATCTTACATTAAAATAAAGCCGTGACTTTCTTCAAACCAGTGGATTTAAGATTATGTCCAAAAGAATTCCTAGGGGCTCCAGAAAAGTACTTCAGGGGTCACCTTCATGAGGCTGACGACATAAGCTTCCAAACAGCCCTAATACAACTATGTTGCTGTTGTTGTTGTTAAGTGCCCTTAAGTCGATTCTGACTCATAGCGACCCTGTATAGGGTTTTCGAGGAGCAGCTAGCTGATGGGTTTCAACTGCCAACCTTGTGGTTCATAGTCTAGTGCTGATCCTACATGGCCATCAGTCACATAATAAGCTGTCATATACACTGTACAATTTCATCTAAAAATATTCTGCTTAAAAAGTTTAATACTTCTCTAATTCAACTGGTCTTTGTCCTCCTTTCAACATGTCTTTGTCCTCCTTTCAACGTCCTTCTAATAATATTGGTGCCTTGCCTATAAATCTCAAGTTTTTCAATTACCAAGATCCTCTCCTTAGACCACACAATCCAAGTATATGATTCATATATTTCATGCCACCCAATTTGACTTCCCCAAGTTTCTAAGTCTTCTTAAAAAGGAAATGGAGTTAGGAGGATACTATGGCTTTCTTACCTGGAGTACGCGTTCATCAAAGTTGCTGCAGTTGTCCTTTTCGCTGCCCCCTTCTCCAAAATCTGATAGACTTCATCCTTGTTGTGTACTGTGACTTCTTCTAAACCCTTGATTATCACTCCTCTCTGACCAAATATCAAAAAAAAAGGATCCATTCATTAGATTGCAATAAAATAGTACTCAGACTTCTCAAAGCAACACACATTAAATTTTTTGGCACTCTTCATTCTCAAGGACCAAGTTACCTTGTTACGAGGATCATCAAACATCTGTAGTCTCTCAGAAACATCAGTAGATGGATTAAGGAGATCAAAGAGTTCTTCATTATATATTTCTAACAAAGACACTTTGACTGAAAATTCAGTACCATTATCAGAAAGTTTCTCAAAAATCTGATGAAGGGTACGTGGTATTATACCAGCTAAGGGATCCTGAAATTATAATAAGAATTAAAATAATGGAAGAACACCATTTACTATGGCAGTTAAAACACAGTCTCCACCCAGCATTTTGCTAAAGCAAATTAAAAACAAAAACACTAATCTATGTTAGGAAAGCCAGATCATTTACAACACTTATCAACAGTAATTATTCGTATTCACACCTTCCACAAATCTAAACATGTCTGTCAGTCAGATTTATGCCTGAGCATTACACAGAAACCAGTCTACATTTACAGCTGAATTCAACAATCCTTCCCATCTTTTGTTAATTCCATATCTCCTATGGTTACAATTCTTTAACTTTACTACTTACTATAGTAAAGTAAGTAAGAAAGTATGGCGCAAAGACATTTGAATGGCAAGGTCAGCAGTTCAAGCTCACCAGCTGCTCCTTGGAAACCCTATACAGGCTCGCTGTGGGTCAGAACCAATTTGACAGCACTTCACAACAACAATAGAAAAGGAAGTAAAAGTCTAAACTATGTAACTACGACTAGAAAAAGGTTTAACCAAAATGTTAAAAACATGGGGCGGTAATCAACCTAGTCATTAACCTCATTTAAATTTAAACACAGTTTATGGAAATCTTTATGAAATGTACTACATGTGTTTTATATTAAATAATATGTTGCTATTGTGTGTTGTCAAGTCGGTGCTAACTCATAGCAATCCTGTATAGGGTTTCCGAGGCTGCAAATCTTTACAGGAGCAGAAAGCCTCATCTTTCTCACATGGAGCAGCTGGTGGATTAGAATTGCTGACCTTGTGGTTAACAGCCCAATGGGTAAAACACCATAGCTCCTATCAAGCAATATGTTGTTGTTTGTGCTGTTAAGTCGCTTCTGATTCATAGTGGCCCTGTATAGGGTTTCTGAAGAGCAGCTAGTTGGTATGAACAGCTGACCTTGTCGTTCACAGTCCAGTGCTGATCCTACAGCGCCACACCAGGAGTCCAGTAATCGTAATGGTGGTTATGTGCTATGGAGTTAGTTCCAACTCATAACGACCTTGTAAGGCTGTAAATCTTTACGGGAGCAGAAAGCCTCATCTTTCTCCTGCGGAACAGCTGGTAGTTTCGAACTGCTGACCTTGAGGTTCGCAGCCCGATTCGTAACCACTATGCTATATCCTAAATTCATGTTTGAAATGTATACTCTGGCCTCCATTTCAAGGTAGAGGTCCTCACTCAAGATTTATTCAGTTAAACTTTACCCCACAATAGAGACAAAAGTCTATCATAATAAATACCTCCTCCCAGGTATACTCTTCATTAGGTGACCTTTCACCTTCCATTGTAAAGGTTTTTCCAGTGCCTGTTTGACCATATCTGTCAAAATTAACAAACTCAATCAAAAACACACACATCTATCTAAAACTGTTCATCAATCTGAAAAGCAGTGTTTCACTTACGCGAAGATCGTGCAATTATAGCCCATAATAACTTCATCCAAAATTGGACATACAACACTTCTGTAAACATCAATTTGTTTAGTGGAGGCTCCGAAAACCTATCAAAAATAAATAAGGGTATTTCTAAAAATAATCTGTGTAGGAATTTTTTATTTAGCATATATACTCATTCAGACCCAATAGAAACCATTTGACATCTCAAAGTCAATTGAAATTCGTAATTATATACTTTTTTTTTTCTTAAATGTTTTATTATGAATTATGTGAGTTTACATGGAAGAACATTAGTTTTACATTCATTCTATCGTATATTGTCTCATTGCCATGGTTACAATCCCCTCCATGCAATCCTTCCCCGGAACCCCCCAGGTCTTCAGCACACAGTCACTCTCCCTCTCTGGATCTAAAGTCTCCAGCTGCTCCATCGTTCCACGTCATCATCTCTGGCTCCATCATAATTATATACTTATTAAAAATCAAGAATACGCATGCTAGGAAATCACTGGATTGACAGATAATTAAGAAACAGCACCATTTTAAAAAGAAAGTAAATACCATATCAAAAGTATATGTTTTCCTTGAGCTCTTGTCAGCCAATCCTGCAGTCCGTATACTGATTTCTTTTCGTGCATGATCACATTCTACTACAGAATGGGCATTAACTTTCCGCTCCGATAAATTAAATGGTCTATAAAAAGAAATACACAAAATTATTCAAGAACTCTTAGCTACTAGATAATCAAAGGCATTTTCAAACTGTTAGACAAGAATAATGAGGATTAAATGATACTGCTAAAGCCAACAGAAATATTTTAAGATTTCAATTCCCCAAAATTAAACCAGTTGTTTTGTTTTTAATTTTCAAAAGTATGCAAAACATTACAAATCTGACATTAGTTTCTTAAAGTGGATACTAACAGAGTTTAATTTGTGAAGAATGCCAAAGTTACTTTTCAGAATTCTATTTTCACTATTCTTACTATCTGACCACATAGTTATCGGTGTAAAGAGCATGTTGGTTCAAAGTATTAACAGTATGCACCTGGCACAAAATAAACATGAGTGATATGTTGAGCATTTATATGCCAGGTAGTCACAATTTCAAGTACTTTACATGTACTAACTAAGGAGCTCTGGTAGCATAGTAGTTACAAGTTGGGCTGCTTATCTTAAGGTCAGCAGTTTGAAACTACCAGCAGTTCCGCAGAAAAAAGATGAGGTTTTCTGCTCCCATAAAGATTTAAAGCCTCAGAAACCCTATGCAGGGTCGCTCTGAGTAGGAAGCGACTCCACAGCACACCACCACCACCACCACCACACGTATTAACTCCCTTTGTTCTGACAACACTGTTACGTTGGCACCACAACTAGCCCATCTTTGAAATGAGGAAACAGGCACGAAGTCTGGCCATCTTGGCTTCTAAGGAGCATTGTAGTTGTACTTCTTCCAACACAGCTTTGTTTGTACTTCTGGCAGTCCGTGGTACTTTTAAGATTCTTCTTCAACATCATAACTCAAATACATCAATTCTTTTATAGTCTTTCTTATTCGTTGTCCAACTTTCACATGCATATGAGACTATTGAAAATACCATGGCTTATATCAGGCGCACCTTAGTCCTCAAAGTAACATTTTTGCTCTTCAATACTTTAAAAAGGTCTTGTGCAGCACATGTTGTTGTTGTTGTTATGTACCGTGGAGTTGGTTCCGACTCATCGCGACCCTATACAGGGTTTCCGAGGCTGTAAATCTTTACGGAAGCAGAGAGCCTCATCTTTCTCCCACGGAACAGCTGGTAGTTTCGAACTGCTGACCCTGAGGTTAGCAGCCCAATTCATAACCACTATGCTACTAGAGCTCCTTATTTACACTTACTCCCTAGGTTTTCTCATCCAGTCTCATGTGTAGCACAGATGCCTAATAAAATCCATCATTTGATTTGGTGGTCCATATGGGGATCTGCTTTTTTTCTCCACTGTCTTCTGAGGCTTGCAGCCAGGTAGTCTCAGCCTAACCCCCTGATCCTGTCCCCAGGAGACTGTCTCTCTCCCACTCTCTGCTTTTTGAGACTTGCAATCAGGGGAATAGTGAACAGTAGAAGCTAGTCTCAGGCTAACCCCAGATCTTATCTTGTGAGGCAGATTACTTTGACTTGCTGTTCTCTTGCTGTCTTCAATCCCCAGCAACACTTCTTCAGCTGTACAGCTCAAGACATTAATCAGTAAGTCACACCCCATATCTCGAGATGCAAAATATCCTCTAGGTCTGAAATGACAGCGTTACTTTTCTTTCTCGGTTGGGTCTATCACTTTCTGTTCTGGACAGTCTAAAAGGATGCTTCCGATTCTTTTCTCCTCTAGGTTTGGTCTTGCCTCAAACCCAGGACACTGGGCCTAAGATCTCTAGGTCTCAGTCTGACATCAGACTCAGGGACACACAACTCTTTCAAATGGTTTAAGCAGGGGACACTCTGACTTAACCTTTTGTTTCTTCAGCATGTTCTTGTCCTTGAGATTCCCTTTCTTCGTATTTTGACCCTACCTAAAGACTCCCCTTAAGGAGCTCTGGTAGCATAGTGGTTACGAATCGGGCCATGAACCTTAAGGTCAGCGGTTCGAAACATCTCCGCGGGAGAAAGATGAGGCTTTCTACTCCCATAAAGATTTACACCTTTGGAAACCCTGTACAGGGTCACTATGGGCCGGAACCGACTCGATGGCACTTAACAGCAAAGACTCCCCTTAGCGTAGTGGTTACTAATTGGGCTGCTAACCTCAGGGTCAGCAGTTCAAAACTACCAGCTGTTCCACGGGAGAAAGATGAGGCTTTCTGCTCCTGTAAAGATTCACAGCCTCGGAAACCCTGTACAGAGTCGCTGTGATTGGAACCAACACCACAACACATAACAACAACAACAACAACAAAGACTCACCGCTTTGAGATGTCTCCTTAAGAATCTGAAGATATTGGAACTGGTCAACCTCAAACCTAACTAAACGTTTCAATCACAATACTTTCCTCCAGCTTGACATGTATTGCCAACACCTTGGCAAATGGCCCAAGGTCCCCTACGCTCAATTTTCTTTGAACTTGCCCACAATCCTGGTCTACCTTCTGCCTGTGCATTTTCCTCCTCCTCAAACTCTTCTGTCTTTCTTATCTCTCCTAAAGCTGAGGCTGTTGTATGTTTTCTCTCACGCCTATCAGACTTCAACTGTCCTCTAGTAAGCCTTGGTTTCCAGAGTTACCCTGGCAAACTTTGATCTCTTTCTACATGTTAAGGGAACCCTAGACCCTGTTCTAGAGTCCTGGTGTGGCACTGTGGGTTAATGCGCTGGACTGCAAGGTCGGTTTGAACCATAAGGTTGGTGGTTCAAGCTCACCAGCTACTCTTTGCAAACCCTACACAGGGTTGATATGAGTCAGAACTGACTAGGTAACATTTAACAACAAGACCTTGTTCTAAGTTGTGATCTTCACCTGTTAGTCAGCCCTTACTCATGTGGCTCCCTCAGGCTCTCGGCGCCAGTTTGAGTTGAACACTCTAAGTTTTTAACATTACTCTGATCCCTTGGAATTCTTTCTTCCCAGAATTAAAGAGGTTGCTTCAAAGACTTATTTTTCCCTCTTATGTTAAGATTAAACCCACCAGCCACTCCTCAGAAACCCTACCTATACAGGGTCACTATGAATTGGAACTGACTCAATGGCACTTAACAACGACAATGTATTTTCCTCAGCACTCCATGCCAAACCAGCCCTCTTATGTCTAAGCACCTCCCAATATTCTGGATCCTTTGTAGATCAATTTAACAGTCAGCCACTTGCAATCACACCTTCACCAGTTCCGCCTAGCACACGTGAGCCACAGTAGTTATAAAGGGTTGAACTACATTCCCACAGTCCTATGATGACATCCTAACAACCATACTTACTTTCTCTGTGGCCCTCTTGCTTAATTTATGCTTACCCACCAATTGACTGTGACCTGTACCTTAGTGTACATCTTCCCCAACGTGACCCTTATCAATGATAGTATCCTCCTTCCCCTGTTCACTCAACACCCGACAGCACCATGAAACCATCACAATTCTTACAACCTTAGGAATCTTAGCTAGATTATCACTGGTTCTGCAGGCCAATTTAACTCTGTATTTTCCATTCTACATTTGTCTACAGATTATCTACAAATTAACCAATCAAATCAGTATCCTCCAAGAACAAATTAACTCCGTAGCTGGACTAGTGTTAAAAACAGGAACGCTTTAGTCCTACTAATGGCATCTACAGAGGGAAGTGTGCCATGCTAGACCTGTTGTTTCTTTGTTAATCATTAGGAAAAAGCCAAGCCAATTTACAAAACATACTTAGAGTGAATAAACTATGAAAAAGGAGTATCAGGCGGTTTTGATTGTTGGGGCCTCATGAGTGGAGTCAGAAATTCTACATTCCTGCAAAATCAGCTCAGTAAAATAGACTGGGGGGTCTTCACCCCATAGGATTTTCAAGGTTGTAAATCTTTATGGAAGCAAACTACCACATCTTTCTCCAGTGATTGTTCAAGCCTTTCATTCAGCAGCCAAGTGCTTCACAGTACCATCAGAGCTCCTGTATTTTGCTAAGTGTCATCAAGTCAGTTCTGACACTTAGCGACCTTCTAGAGTGTTTCTGAGGAGCAGCTAGTAGGTCTGAACACACATCTTGCAATTCAAACCGACCTTGCGCCCAGTCCAGTGCTTAGCCTTCAGGGCTGCAAGGGATCCTGTCTGACCATGATAAATGCCAGGTTAGCCTTGGGTGGAGGAAGAAGAATGAGAAAAGCGGTAATGATTGCTTGTTTCTTAATCTGGGTGGTAGGAAAAAGGAACTGTAGCCAATACTGTATAAGTCTTTATAGGTCTGAAATAATTTGTAACAGTAAAAAAGGAAAATCAGACAAACATAAAAAGTAATAAATCCTGGATTTTTTTAATCAACAAAAATAATCTAAAAGTTTACATCTGTAACACAGGTTGCTGGAAAAAGAACATTTCAAACCAAATAACTATTAACACCAGCAAAAGCCACCAATCCACAATCTCGACAGCACCAGAGTACAAGCAGTAAATGTAATTGGCTAGATTTAAGGTTGTCACCAAATATTCTCTCACACGTCCTTTAGAAACCTAGCTATTACCTTTGACATCTATAATTCAACTCACCAGAGATGAGTAAGCAGCAACCTAAGAAAGTGTGTTGATACCGTTTTTTCTTAATAACCATATTTAAATTTTAGAATGCTTTTAGATTTACCCAAAAGCTGCAAAGACAGTTGTTGGTACAATGTTAAAATAACAAAAACAGACAAAACACAATAGTAACCTGTGCAGCACTGCCAAAAAGTTTAATAAATTAATCTATAATTAAGCAGCAATTTCTACCAAGTATGTTCTTCCTTTAGTAGCTCATTTTAAAACTAAGAAGTTATTTGGAAGTCAACCAGGAGAGAGTTGAACACCCTCCCCATGAAAAACCTGTATCAGTTGGTTAGTATTGTCTATGAACCAGCAGGCAAAAGAAAGAAAAGACCAAGTTGCAACAAAATTAGATACCTACTCTAGTGTGGAGTCCTGGTGTGGCGCGGTAAGATTCCAAACCTACAAACTGCATGGAGCAGCACATAAAACAGATATTTTGATCGATATAATTAAAAAATATAAGAATGACTTTTTCACTAAAGAAAGATGATCAAATGAGCCTTCTTAAAGCGAGTTTAAATATACTCCAAAACAAACATTGCTACTTGATCCTTGAAAACAGACACTACTCATCCAGCAACCTAGTGTCATTCTTAACAAAGTGGGGAACTCAACTGAGCAAGGTCTGGTCGCTCCAAGAACGCAAACAAAACCCCTCGCCCCAAACCACGCAAGAGAACCCAGCTGCAAAGTCCGGGCGCTCAGAATCCTGCCAGCCTCGCCCTACCTGCATCTCACCACCACCTGGATGTTCTTTCCTTTTTCCTCTTTTTTCTTTGCCGAGGAATTCGGCTGGGACGCCATGACGGTCCGGGCTTAAAAAGCAGTATCTAGCTCAGTCGCTGACACTAGCCGAAGGGGCTTGGCGGTCGGCACGGTCGGGGTGCCCACCTCCCCTGCCGGATGCTGTAGAGGCTGGAAAAACAGCCGCACGTGATCTGGCGTTCCTGCAGTTCACCTGGAGCCGCAGCTTGTGCCCCGCACCAGCAAAAGCCGCGAATCCACCAATCTCTACAACTCCTGCAGTCCGGTACACCAAGCAACGACTCCGCGCCTCAATTTAAAAAAGGAGTCCAGTCCTTGGGCCAATCGCGGCGCTGGCGCGCAAGGCACCATGGGACGCGGTGTTGTCTTTGGAGCCCCGCCCTCGAGCGGGACCTAGGGAAATGTGAGACGCTGGTTTGTCTTCACCCGCCCCAAGTAAAGCAGTCCAATAGAGGCGAAGCAAAAGTGAAGGGAGTATGACAATTCAGGTTTACGTTCAGGTCGCGAGTCAAATTCTGACGCCTCTAATTGACAGTTGGGGTGCGCGAACTAACACCTGTATTTTGGCAGCAAACCCATTGCGGAAACAAATTATCTAGGTTGTTATGGGCTGGAATCTGGACTGCGAATCACAATCTGGACGGCAGTTCGAGCCCACCAGCCACTTAGGTGGAGAACGATGAGGTTTTGTGTTCCCGCAAAGATTTGTAGAGCATCAGAAACTGTACAGGGTCTCTGTGAGTCTGAACCGACCCGATGGCACTTAACAACAACTTTCCAATTCGGTGATCTTGCTCAAGTTGTATAATGTCTCTAAACCAAAATGTCCACATCTGCAAAATGAAAACTCGCCTCAGAGAGTAGGGAGAATTGAGACTATCTAGATTACAATAAACATTCAGGAAAAGGTGACCTTGAGTATTATAGAAAATTATGAGAGTATTATGGGAGTACTGTGGAGAGGGACCCAAGCAAGCTTATTGCTGTTAAGTAGTTGGATAAATTCAAAGCGAGCCACTTTCCCGCAGGCAGCATCCAAAATAGTGTGATGAGAGTTCAGAAATGCTAGTACCAACTCCTGAGCAAATGAGTTTTGAATGTCCTATGAAGGACTCGGAATTTATTCTTCAATTGGTGAAAAGTCATCCTTGCTAAATGATTCCAAGCCACAAAGTAATGTCAGAGTTTCGCGTTTTAGGGCAAGCCGCACGACAGGTCAAGGATGAGCGCCTCGGTGAAACTCAAAGACACAGCATTCAGTACACTAACAAGAAGATTACGCAAACCCCGTCTGTGATCAGCCTACAAATCCCAGGATGCAGTGCTCACTGGCCCTCGCCTCCGGCTTTCCGTAGTCGCGCTGTGGAAGTCTTGACAGTGCCGATAGTGATTTGACCACGTTGTGTGGCCTTGGAAATAGGGTCAGGGACCAATGACTTAATCGGCTCCTTGAGCTAGCTTTTAGAGCACACTTAGCCCATAAGAACCTAGGTATCCACCCCCATGAGTTTGCTGCCAAAATACAGGTGTTAGTGAAAACCATCGCAAAATCAAAACTAAAACGGAAAGGAAAAGACTCATATCGACATCTTCGTTATTGGGCTCGTAGATTGCGGTAAATCTACCACTCCTGGTCACCTTGTGAGAAATGTTGTCTGTACTCATTTTTGCGAGAGTGAGGTTTTCTTTATTCGATTTTGCAAAATCGGGCACCTAGCCTGGTAGACAAGGGCAGATGTGCCACATGTCCTGCCACAAATGGTTTTTATTCTTGTCTCCAGGAAGCCCCTCCTCCAGTTCCAGTTCCCCATATACAATTCTAAGGCATGTCCCATTTTCCCTCCTCCCAAAGAAGCCAAAATGGCTTGCCCATTGTCTTAATGGCTGTATTCTTATTTAAATTTCCTAGTCCTAGAATAGCCAGGTTACTTATCTCTTCCTGCACGTAATTTAACAATCTGTTTGTCAGGCCTAGCAATCTCATGAATTCCTGAAGATGGACCACGTCCACAAGAGTTGTTTCTCATGACCTAATCTACAAATGTGGTGGTATCGACAAAATTTTATGAAGGAACTGCTGAAATGGAGAAGGGTTCCTTCAAGTATACCTGGGTCTTGGATAAACTGAAAGCTGAACGTGAGCAAGGCATCACCATGGATACCTACCTCCCTGTGGAAATTTGAAACCAGCAAGTCCTGTGTGACCTTCATTGATGCCCCAGGACTCAGAAAGTTAATCAAAAACATGATTACAGGAATCTCACAGACTGTACTGCTCGGATCACTGCTACTGTTGTTGGTGAATTTGAAGCTGATATCTCTGGCTCTGACGGTTAATGTGCTGGACTGCCAGGTCGGTTTGAACTGAAAGGTCGGCGGTTCAAACCCACCAGCCACACCTGAGAAACCTTATACAGGGTCGCTTTGAGTCAGAATTGACTCAATAAAACTTAACAACAACAAACTCTCTTAAGAATGGGCAAAGCCAAAAGCATGGCAAGGCCAGTGGAACCACCACTTGTCTAACTGACTTGCTCACCACCAACTGGTCTGACAAGCTCCTCCAGGATGCCTACAAAATTGGTATTGGCACTGTCCCTGTTATAGTATAACTAATGCCTGAAATATTACAGTATAACTAAGGCCCCCATTTGAAATATTATAGTATAAATGATGCCCCCATTTGAAATATTATAGTATAACTAATGCCCCCATTTGAAATATTACAGTATAACTAACAGCCCCCATTTGAAATATTATAGTATAACTAACAGCTCCCATTTGCCATTTGAAATATTATAATTCACCCTGCTCCCCGCTTTCCCCTCACCTCACCCTATGGAAAAATAATAAATAAACTTCTTACAGAAAAACCTTGAAGGCCAGAATGACCCAAGGACACCAGAACAAACAGGATAAAACTTAGCCCATCCATACAACCAAGATAAGGGTTTATTGGTGGGTTTACTCCCACTTACAGGGTAAGGGTCTGCTGGAATTTACCACCCCAGCTGACAAGACAAGTCTGTGTGTTCTAACCACTCTGTGTTTCTTGTATAAAACCCTGTTCTCCTCCTCACTTTGGGGTCAGAGTGATTTGGGCTTGAGCTGACGCTCTGGCCATTGGCAACAACCTTTGCTCTTGAAATTTTCCAAGTTGAGTTCTTTCTGACTCACACTGCCTCAACATCCCAACCCAGCTTGATAGCAAGGCATCATAAAACCTTCAGAAGGAAAGGAATGTTGTGTAGACCCTTTGTTTCTTTTTTTGTGTGGCATTTTAAGTTAGTTTTAAAAATCAGTCCTTTTTAAATGGAAGCAACTTGACCAAAAATTTGTCATAGAATTTTGAGACCCGTTAAAACAAAGTTTCATGGGGGAAAAGAAAAGAAGAAGAAAACCTACGTATTATTTTAGTTTCTTAGAAAAGGCAACAGCCAGGAGGAGTGGAAAGCTCTTTGTATTGCTTGGTGCTCCTTCCCTGTTGTTGGGTGCACTACTGTTGGATAGCTGTCCGATCCATTTCGACTCATAGCAAGTTTTATGGAAGCTGATCATCAGGTCCCAGCAGAGCCACTGGGTGAGTTCAAACAACCAGTCTTCTGGTTAGCAGCTGTGGGTTTAACCGTTGTACTACCAAACACCTAGTTCCTTCTCTACCCCCTCTGGTCACCCTTCCCATGTTCCCCAGGGAAACACCTACAGTTCAGATCATTGATTACCTCCATTTTACATAGTAGAAGTCCTGGTACGGCTCTATGGGTTAATACACTGGACTGCAAAGTTGGTTTGAACTGCAAGATCGGCCGTTCAAGTTCACCAGCCACGCCTAGAAAATTCTATACAGGGTCGCTATGGGTCGGAACTGACTCGATGGCACTTAAAAACAACAACATTCTGCATAGTATGCTGTTAACATCTTAAGTGGCTCACAAGCATCCCAAACAACATGTCCAAAACAGAACACTTTAACCCCTTGCCTTCATCCTGAACATTTTAATCAGAATGCATGACACGAAACAGGACCTTTGATTCCTTCATCCTTTGTGTCCAATGCAGGCCTGTTGGTTCTGTCTTCAAAATATGCACATCTATCACTTTTCTGCCAACCATGTTTGTCCAAGTTCCCTGCATCTCTTCCCTGGACCACTGGCATAGCCTTCTTAACATATTTCCCTACTTCTACTATCTACCACCTGCAGTGCATTCAACCTACAAGGGAAAGGAATCTGTTTCAAAAGTTATAATGACTTCTCTTGGTATAAATAAAATCCAAGCTCCTTGTCATACCCTGTTGTTGTTAAGTGCCTTCAAGTGGATTCCAACCCATGGCGACCCTGTACAGGATTTCCAAGGAGCAGCCCTGTAAGAACCTCATAATCTAGACTTTACCTATGCCAGCATCAACTCCAACTGCTCTCCACATAACTCACAACTATACTCCAGAGCTTCTCATTTCTTTCTGGCACCCAGCTATTTATGCTTGCTGTTCCCTCATTCATATCCATTATCCTTCTTCAAATCTTAGTTCAACTTTCTACCTTCCTGTAATTGTCTGTCTCGAGATCTGTTTATGTCCTTCAATATAAATTTACCACAATGTGTAGCTATATTGTCTGTATGTTGTCTGTCTCCCCAGCTAAAATATACTTCATCTGGGATCCCTAGTATCTAGAATAGAGGATTACACAAAGTACTCATTCAATAAATACATATTGAGCACTCAAAGTAAACTACTCAAGTTTCTCAGCCTTGGTTGCCATATCTGTAAAGCGAAGACAATAATAATTACAATTGTTGTTAGTATTAAAAATTTACCCACTCCTCATGTATCCACATGTTCCAGAGGTCTTGTGCAGCAGATTTGCTTAATGCAAATTGTTCGGTTTCTTGAGGTTGGCCCAGGACTGGGCAGTATTTCCTTCTGTTGTGCGTAGGGTCACTATGAATCGGTACTGATTCTATGGCACCTAACAACAACAACAAAATGTTCCAAAGACGAGATCGTTAAATGAACACCGGCATTATAAGAACATAGA